AAGTTTCCCTAAACTTTTTCAACTTTGTTTTTAATAGTTTAGTGATAAATTGACTGAATCACCACTTCGTAAGGGAAGTCTTTGTTTAAGAATCATTAATATTGTGCGTTCTATAGATTGTTTAACGTAAATAACTTACCATACCTCTAGTAAATTGCTTTGATATTTAAAATATGCTGTACAGGCATAAAATTACTTTTTTAAAACGACTTTTAGCTGTGATGTTTGAAAGTAACTCTAAGTGGGTTTAAGCTGCCGAGTGGTATCACAATTCATCACATATACAATGTATTATGATACAACGTTAAGTGCACAAATTTGTACTGTGTTATCGAACTGTTATGGACAGTAATAATAATGAGTAATTTTTAAAAGGTCGATATAATATTTTTCACTCCTAGTTTTTATATATACTTTATTTCATATAAAGATTGTATCGTGAAGCTCTACAAATATCGTACTACTGGAATCTTTTACTAAAACTAAACTTTATGAGTGAAAAAAGCCAATTTCTTGCTAGGCGAGCTACCTGTTTGCTCAATTTACGGTAAAATTTGAAAAATATATTTCACATTTAACATGTATTTACCCACTGATAAACCTTTCTGTTCTTTGGAAACAATCAAACTCTTTTATCTCAATCGAATCTCTGTACTTTTTTTCTTCAAAATAAATTTTACAAATATTTCATCAGCTGTCGACGATATCCATGTGACATTTCAATAAAATTGCATTCTTAGTGCATACGTCAATAATTAGTAATAAAATACATTTACATGATTAGATCAATATCGTCTTGACATAAGATGGTGGTTGGAGGTAGTCGACAGGAAACCCTAGATCCGAGTTTCGTGCTACTTGGCGCTCGTCAGCAAGGTGTACCTGTAATCTTGAGGGAAATGATACTCCCTGACGGATTCGATCCCGTGTCACTCAGCTTCACAGTTAGAGGCGTTACCACTGGGCTATCCAGGCCGCGACTGACCTCTTGTAGGACTGAGATTTATTTACAATTGATTGATCACTGATTGGTGATCAAGATCATCGGTGTTAGTTCCTTCCCAGTGCATCCCTCAAGATTACAGATACACCTTGCTTGACAAGTGCCAAGTAGCACAAAACCTACGTCCAGGGTTTCCTGTTGACTACCTCCAACCATTATCTTATCTCAAAATAGTGCACGCAATGTCGAGTCACCTAGACTAGTATCCACATTGCAACTTGGTCGATAGGATTCGATCTGCACTGAGAAAACCTGACACAGATGACATTGATCACCAAACAGTGATCAATCAATTGTAAATCACCTTGACAGTTAATCATACTGACTAATAATATATACTCTTACTCTGTAAATAATACCGTACTTTGAATACTTTCTATTTATATTACGCATACTTTTTTTATTGTAGAATTTATCAACATTCAACATGTCCAGTTTATTACTATCCGTTGATGGACGTGTGGTTTTTGGTGATCAGGTCAGTAAACATTTTATCTTAATTTTTGTAAATATTCATGCTATAAATGGATTTTGTTGGAGAATAAGTTAAGTGTTATCATATTCATTTGTCTTATTTTTTATACCGACCATTCGTGCTTGTTAGTGTATGATATCAAACAATTGAGCTCCGTAGTTTAAGAAAATGTATCAATATCAAGTCATACTAAAAAAAAGCTTAGTTTAAATCGTCGGACTGACATCTAAATAATTTATCTCCGAATCGGGTCGACATTTCACATTCAATGAATTTCTTAATAAATGCCATCGATGAAACACGAAAAAATAAGACCGAAGTAGCTTAGTTGAGAAGATAAAATGATCATCGCACAGCAACAATGTTTCCACAGTTCAAACTCGTGTCGCGAAAATAATTAACTAATCCTTATCCTTTCGCACTCAACAATATGTTTTTGCGTGGTTAGGATAATGGATACTTTAGTCAATAACGTGAACCTTGAACATCATGCCACAAATTTGTTGTCAGTTCTATATTTGGTTTAGTTATAGACGATAGATTACTGTTTCGTTAATTAGATCACTTTATCTGACAAAAAAGTGTGACAATTTCTTTAAAATATGAGGCTTCATTATTCATGCGCAATACCTCTGTATCGAAGTTCATGTATGGTTGTTTTTTTTATTATTCATAACCGGAAATTTATTTTAAACTAAAATCAAAGTGGAAAATCGTTGGCTGAAAATTTTGCGTACTAACCCTTTGTTATTTTATGATGCCAATCACATGAAATAGTTTTGGTAGTAGATATAGTAAACGGATAGGTAAACTATATCGTCTCGTAAACACCTACACGACAACAAAATATGATTGGTATTTACGAATATAGAGCGAAATGTTCCGACGAATCCAAAGACAGCTCCACCTGTTATATTTAAACTGAAATATCAAGCTTTACCGTCTGATTGGAAAGAATGAATGTCTATGGAACAACTGTGTTTCCAATAGCGAGAAAAATTAACGATCTATTTGAATCTGAATCCTATATAACTCATTGATCCTTAGAAAAAGGGCCTTTAAACTAGAACTTAGATACTAAATATAGTTCCATTCCAACTTCTTTTCCATACCATTACGCTAGTAAATTCCTTCAATTGCTCATGATCCATATTCTTAAAAGCGAACCTCCATGGTAGATGTGACAACTTTCACCACCATATCAAACTATTTGTGTCAAGGCATTTCGATATGAAGTCCGTCGTTGATGTTTTTTGTAATTCGGTAGAAAACAAACGAATAAACAACCATAATTATACAGTTTCAGAAATAAATAACACTAGCTCATTAAAACCTGAATACATCAGTTTCATGTTGTGATGCAGCCTATACAGATACGAAGTGCCCTAATTTATTATAGTAATTTACTGAATAATGCATCTTATGTATTCACAATTTCAAATTCCAGCCCTAATCTTGTCATCTTGGTGGCAGAATATATATATATATATATATATATATATATATATATATATATATCGTGTTTTTTCTATAAGTGTGTAAAGGTCACTGCATGGTACTTCGACCATTGTGTTTACTTCGGTCCTCTGATTGATTAACCAACTCATTTACATTTTACCACTTACAATTTACTAATTAGTGGTTGTCTAACAACACCAGTCTTCACTTTTCCTCTACTTGATAATATGGTCTGCCTGTATCATCTTGATGTATCTTTAAGAAGTTAGTGTTATCGACTAAAAGCACAATGATTTATAAATTTAAAAACTAAGTAACAGGTTATAAAATTTTCCGTCATCTACATCAGTTTACGTAACTATTTAAGTTCCGCTGTTTTTCATCACTAAAATATACTTGTTTCTAATATACATTGTTTTCAGAGTTATCTACGAGTTGTAAATCCATGGACTGCTAAATATGAACGTTCAGTTCAACTTTTACCCCCATCATCTGTAAATATGAGAAATCCAAATAGTTCAAATTCTTCACATATCTCTGCTTTGTTACGTCGATGGATAAAAGAATTAGTTCCACTTGGTGTTACTGGTGGTGACTTTGAATCGTTCAAGTCATCTGAATTATACTTGATAACTAATCAAAATGATGAACAAGGAAAATTGTCCCCAATTATCAGTATGAAAATGCCAATAAGAACTGGTGGATCATATGTTATCAGTATTGCCGATGGTGGACGAATATTAGTTGTAGTACCAGTGTCTACAATTAAATTTGATTAACTCGAATATTTTTTTCTACCGATTCTTTCTATTTCTATAATATTTAAGAGATGTACAGTCTTCATTTATTATAATATGAATTTTAAACAGTTATCGTATTATTAAGAAATATTAAGTAGTTTCATTTTATGAGTTTACGTAATTATACATTGACCGTTAATCAAGTTTCTGCTGCTATGTGATTCCTGCATAGATTTTAATTGCGTAAACTTCAATGTTTGGGTTACTAAATTGATTGTAACAGTAACACGGCATTTTTACTATTATTTCCAATAAATAAATATTAAGGTTTTGCATAAATAGTATTAAATTGCTGTTTCACCTTTTCTCGATTGGCATGATGATGTCAACTCTCTTTGAAGAGATTAATGTTTATCGAAAGATTTATAATAGGTCTCTGTATTTTATGGTACAAATGACAGTTTCCCAATAACAACTAAGAATTTGTGTTCATCTAATATTTATTAAACCGATAAGTAATTTTCAAAGTATTTTATAAATGATGGATTCTGGTGAGATATATAATTATTTGAATATTTATATTACGTAAAACCGGTAACTTAAAATAATTCATTAGATCTTTTTGAAATATCAAGTACTTAAAAATCCAATATTATGTAGACAAATATCAATGGTGATCTAAAGTAAAACCAATTTAGTAATTTACTCAACATATATCTCATTTACAGATCAGACTGACTTGCACAATTTCGATTTTTACTTTAGTTGAAGAATACCTATTTAATATAAAACTAATAATCGAGACAATCCTTTAGAAATATATCGTATAAGTAATATTCTTAAATTTAATTTGAAGTCTTAGTTTTACAAACTATGTTTAAAAGTATGATCCATAAAACGTAATATATTTTCACTGGAAAGTCTCATCAACTGATAATAATTCTCAGCGCGAGGAACTTGTTGATGTAATCGTATTCTTTGTTGCTTTTCATTCGAGTAAAATTATTTGTCCACATAAATCAACATCACGTATAAGTGTTTGACCTTCAGCACGGCTTACTTAGAACTCCTAAAGTTGGTTTTTTACTGGGTCTGTTTCACTACTATCTCTCTCTTGGGAAAAAGCTTGGGTTTCTTGAAAATATCAACTCCTAATCAGAAGCCTAGACCCTGAGTAGTCTACAAGTCTTAACTTTTTCTGCTTTGCTTCTAACTCTCCGTGTTCTTTAGTACACAAAAGTAGTTTTGTGAGCTCCTAGCATAGAACATAATTTATCAGTCACTCGCGTCCGGCTATTGGACAGATTGAAACAAAAGCATAATCTGAAAATATGCTGCTTGTTTTAAATAAAGCAAACAGAAAACAACTAAGCATTGGATTTTTCTTTATCTTTTAAACCTTTGTACAATTGACATAAACCTTTAGAATCTGCAGTAAGTACACCAACAAAATCTAATTTCTGCGTTTGTACACGTCGACGTTTTGCAGATTTTAAACGATCAATGAAATTTGTTCGATCAGCTGAAATTGTAATCAAATAAAAAGAATTTTAGTAAGATTTACACGAACATAAGAAAATTTAATACACTTGAGTTACTGTTATCGATTAAGAGCTATTTTGACTTTTTAAACCATTGATTACCATTAGTTCGAAAAGCGTAGTCAGTAATTTTGGATCTTCCGATAAGGTTCAGTTTAACAGTTGATTATCGCATGAATCGATCGCATTTAGTTTTCTAATCGAAAAATAAACTAGTACACCGCATGCGTAGGTAGGTGGCATCGATAGAATAAAGCGAGCTTCCTAAGCGTATGTAGATTACTTATTCTTATCACAACTAGAACACCTGTTATCACACTATCAATTTGTGCTTCTTAGTTATTTTGTTTCTTTGCGTGATCTATTACGATGTTATCACTGACTCATGAACTGTCTTGATTAGTTTAATGGTTTCGTATATGTATATAAATATTTATTGTATATTAGAGTAAAGCCTGATGAGGATCTAATCGAAAACAGTATTGTTCGCTTACATATGTTGTTCTAAATCACAATATGGGAATTTTTACAAATTTGAACTGTTATCATTATAAGTATTGAAAAAATCATTGTTTCTTTCTAAATTTACAGCTTTTGCTACCTCTAGTTCCTGACATTTTTAAATTGAGTAAAAAGGATTTTATTGTCAAACAGGTTAAAATAGAAATTTTACCAGGTTCAACTATTGCCATCATCTTGGGCGATTGCACCGGGTTACATGCAGATCTAAATGTGAATAAGAAAAAAAGGATTGTACTATAAGAGAAAATAGTAATTGTTCAATTGTTCACCTATCTACCCTATGCATAATTTTATTACGACAGTAACTAAGAAGTGGTATTAACACTATAACATACGAAACAATATTATATATTCTATGTGGATTACTAAAAATCAGCCACTTAGAACTGCAGTACAAATCTGGTTAGTCTGACGTCTGAACTAATCAAAAAGTACAAAATGACATTTACCTTCATACTTCGAATGAAAAACGTAGTTGATATTTTAGTGATGTGCAACGTTGCCTAGAAAACTTGGAAGTAAACTGACAGATGATCAAAATGAAGATAAGTATCAGTTCACGAAGTCATTGACCATGGATTAAAATCATGATAGATACGAATTACCTGGTTAGGTTCCGCACGACCAGTGATTGAGTAACATTACTTGTAATTGGACACAATGGGTCAAATGCATTCACTATTCTTCGACATTTTGAGTTTTATTACCCCATCAGACATACCTTTAGACTCCATCTTCTCGAACCATATTCTCAGTGTTTAGTCTTTCTGACTGTCAATGTTACTGCAGTAATTCCGGCTGCTTTATTATTCATCTTGTTAATTTTATCTTATAGTGCTAAGTTAGCATGACGACTTAGCCATTCCCATCTCCGTCAGGCTGTTTACCGATTATGACTGACCGATTTTGATGAACTTCATTAAGCTAACAAAAACAGTGTATAGGCTCACATTAAACTCATCATATATGTAGCTTTTGATTCACCGACAATCCACCAATCATACACAGGTTTATATACTACTGATATTAATTGATTATCCAAAAAAAATCATTCAATTTCAGAACTCCAATTATGAAAGTAATTTAGATAGGCTTTTGCAAAACATGTCAACCTTTTTGTATACCAAATAAACTAATATCTGATTAATATGGTTTTTAATTTTGATACTATACCAAATTAGTTACTATAATACAAAATAAATTTGAAACTGGTATCAAACTAGTAAAAATTAAATAAACCACACATACCTTTGATTTATTTGCGTAGTGATACATTTGGAATCATGAGAATCTGTATGCCTATGGAGACGTTCACATAGAACTGTTAAACTTTTCATAATTTTTATAAGTGCTAAAGGAATGGTAGAATTAACAATATTCGTTTGATCATATGCTATTGTTTTAGCTAGACGAATCATTTCTGTGAGATTTAATGAATTAAATTCATTTTCATTTGACAAACGATTTAGTCCATTTAATGTGTCATTAGTTTTTGATGAACTTATAGTTTGTATCCAATAATTTCGAATTTGTTCATGTTCAGTTGATATATCACTATATAAGGAAAGAATATAATCGAATTCAGTTGCCATTACAATTGCTTCTGCTTGAAGTACAGGTGCAACAGGCAAAGTTCCAGATGATGATCCTCTAGAATTAATTTTTTTTGGAAAAACAAAAGATCATTTTTTTATAGTCACTAAATAATGATGCAATAAAGCCACGAAAGAAGAATAAATAATCAATACTATTGACACTATAGCTCTCTTATACAAAAAAAGACATTGATCTCTTTCAGAATCTAAATTGTGTTAGAATACAAACTATTTTAAACCATAACGATGATTTTTTTATTGTATCTAAACCCTTGTACTACCCTGTAGATTTTTCAATACTCATTGTAAAATAATACAAATACTGATTGCTGTTGAACAGTGGAAAAGACAAAGATAAGTACTTTTAACTTTTATATACTTCACTTTGTAACAGTTAGCTATCTGAATCCACACTTTCTTCGTCAAAAGAAGAAGAGTCATACGAAGTTTTTACTGAAATTTAAAATCCACTGCTTTATTTTTGTCTTCAAGGTAGGCATTCAATCTAATTTTATTGCGAAGGAATAAACAATACCTTGGCTGAAAATACTTATGTGATGAATAGCTAGTTAATTTATTTACATTACAAATGAAGTGTCATTACTTTTTTATTTCTAACAACTATATATAGATTCCTACCAACTTGGCATTTTTAAAGATTATGTTGAGTTATAGTTAAATAATATTTATTTCATTACATTTCGGAGAAAAAGTGACTTAATAGTTAAAACGTTTGACTTTTAAACAATGAATTGAAAATTAAAATCTCTCTACATATAATTCGGGTTGGACAGCTGGTTAGTATCACTACTCATCACAAAAACAGTCTAGTTTGAACTTGGTAGAACAGTCACATTACACTGTATCTAAAAATTACAAATTATCTAACTAAGAATACGCCATTCAGCTTAGTGAACACAAAACCTTCAAAACTCTCATCCTGAGCTGCAAGTGTTTTCTATTATCTCAATCTAAGTAAGATAAATAATTATAAGTTCATAAATAAGCCCACTAACGAAAGATTAACTCTATGAGTCCCAAAAGCTTACCGTTTAGAAGAGTTCTTTCTAGAATCGGACAGGCAAACGTACTGTTTAATAGAGTTTACAATATTCACTATAGATTCTTCACAGGCAGATATTTCACTAGGTTCAAGGTATTCTTTTGGTAAATTTTCAAATATTGGAGCAGCTAGCTAAAAATAAGACAATAATAATAAAAGTGTTTGCTTTTTATTAGATGTTTGATTTATAAACTTCATTATCAACAAATCGTAACTTCTGTGTTTCATAACTGAATAGGCTAAAGAATGAAACTGTAATAATCGATATCTGATTGAACTAATTGATGGATAAAATACCAACTACTACTACTCCGCAGTACTTCAAGTGAATATTTCATCCCATGTAGGTTAGTTTCAACTAGAATAATTATTTTAAAAGAGTACAAACGATTTTCTGCTCAAAAAGTCTACTGACACACTAAAATATACTCTATTATCTATGATTACTGCTTGATTTTCGGTTATTATAACAATATTCATTTCATTGGGTGCTCTACATAACACTCACCTCGACCAATCACGTGTAAATAAAATCAATAGTATACATAATATGATATATAGGTCATTTTACTTATTTATATTTTATAATTCTCTATTAAATTCTACATACAAAAATTACCCTGTCTTAAGTCAATTAGTCAGTCGATGATACACATTTTCCATATTATATAGTCTGATTAACTAAAAATAATATCATCCAGGTTACTTAGACCATAGAGACTGAATGTATTTTACTCAATAGATCTTTAAATCTATATAGTTTACCAAGGTCTGATCATTACCTTAATTAAAATACAAAATGTGTAAACATTGTACAACTGTATATAGACATAACAAATAACATATAAAGTCAATTAGAAGACATATATTGTGTATTGATGAAAGTTTAGTAACATTCAAGTTTTAATTAATTTTTTTTTCATAATATTTAGAAATACTATCTGAATAATAATTTGTAGATAAGTTTTACTACTGTATGTATTAACTAGTCAGTTTTGTTGCTTATTAAAGATTTGGGGTTTAGAATGGAAAAGATGATCGCTTTGTGATCACTGATCTTTATATATACGTTAACGTTTCATTAACATGAACTTAATGAATTTGTCAGCATTAATAGCGTAGATAACATGATGGCAGATTTAAATTACTTGGATGTTTACAGAGAGTTTTATTTATTTTAACACATAGATATTGGTACAAGGAGGTATCGAATACATATGCGCTACACAAATCTCATTCGATATGTATGAGGGCTGTGATACTGCCCGGGTGCCCAAACCGAAGCAGGTGGTTTTCTTCGGGGGACCACCACCCCCCGAGCCTTCGACCTGAAGGCCTGATCCACAGGGCAGTGGAGCATCGTAAGGAGATGCAGTCCCATGGAAGCCGCTGACCAACGATTGGTTCATACGCTATTTGTTGCCACAGGATACTGGAGCCCATGTGCACCATTGGTTTGGAATCCGGTTAAAGCGCCAGACATTCTCTTTTCGTCCTCTCGATTTTGTAAGCAACACCCCCGCCACGAGAAGGCAGAGGCTATATACGCGTGGCCATGTGAGAGCATTTCGAGAGGGAGAGCGGACTCTCCCCACTCTCGGTCGTACCAGGGCATTTGGGGGGCTGATTAACTAGAGACTAGTGTTCATGAAACATTCATAATCAAATATCAAAGCTTGAAGAACATTAAACAAACCAATAATAATCACTTGATTTGACAATATGTTTACAATCAAATGAAATTGTCGGTATAGACTTATTAGCAAGATAAACAAAATAATAGTTAAATATTCACACTGTTTACACATATCTCATGACACTAAGAAGATTACCAAGACTGGTGGTAAAACGTTCGCAATCAAGTATGTTAACTAATCAATGATTCTTTATAGTTGAGTATCAATACAGGAAAAAACAACTGATAACTAAAAACCCATCGGAGTAATATGTTTGTTACAAATACTTTGTCGTTGTATACCATAATATAGGATCGCTTGAGTATTATGTTAGGATGGTTACAATATCTATTCATGAAATCACTGTGTTATGTTGAAAATAAAACCATTAGTGGTTCATAGATTGAAAAGATAAGGTTTAGAAATGATACGCAACAAATCTTGTAAACTATATCGATAGTATGAATTAGTCGCAAATTTATACTGTATTCACATTTACGCTCTTTAGTACCCAGGATTTTCGTTATCATTTTATGCTTTTCTCTGACAAAGTTGTTTTTTAAATGGTACAATTGAGAAATAATACATTAGACTTTATGCTGAGCCAGTCAGTAGTCATAAATAAACAAAAAGTAATCAAATATTATCAATTCGAAACAGCATTGTCGGTAAGTTTAAGCATTAAAATAAAATAACCAGACAATACTTGGGAATAATTTACAACGATATTAGTTCCATTAACTAACCTTAGTTTTGTCCAGTAATGTTTGAGATTCCATAAGTGGCCAATACCGTGTTTGACGTTCAATATGTTGTTGGGCTATTTAGTATATGTAAGAATAATCAAATAATTATTTAGCACATTAAAATAAACTAAGAAGCATTAAATTGTATCGTTAATAATAGATGAAAAAAGAGATATAATCCAGTGAGTAGTGACGGTAATTCCTTACCCTCTTACCCATCTACTCAGTAAAATGCATGAGTACAGATGTGGAGTAAAGATGAGTAAACAAATATAGACAATGTACGAACTGATATTTTTTTCTGCACCTACTTCTACCTGGTTTAGTCTAACAGTCAATGACTTCATGAGCTGACACCATGTCTTGGTATTTTTGGTGAGACTAAGTGAAAAATACTAATTAGTGACATTTGATTGAATGAAGACTGAATATTAAAAAATCAATCGTTTATCTTAGTTATTCTTGTATTCATAAGGAACGCCAGAAGTATTTAAAGGCACTCGTAAGTGAAGAGACATAAAATAGAAGTAACTGTGATTCCTAAGCGAAATGGCATATAATTTGAAAGTATTCTACATTTTATTTTAATGATGAAAGCCAGATGACTACAGCTTAATCAGTTCACTTTGGTCGAAAAAATTGAATTGATCAGGGTTGTTCATCATTTTATTTTAAGTAAGGGATATTCTACTTGTATATGACTCTTCTGTTATTATTTGAAAATCAAAACTTTCGCTAACAACAAGTGCTTTGTCTAGGATTTTCACAATAATCATGAAATAAGTGTTAGTCCATTGAGGACATTACCATTTAAGTCTGTAAGATTTCAAATTCAGATCATACGTTCAATTCTGAAACTATTTAAAGAGGAGGAGAATGAAGAAGCTAATCAAGTCAAATAAATAAAATTCCAACTGTATATGCTCCAAGTCGTTAAGAATATGTTTATTAATCTTAACTATAAGACAAATTAAAGTCGACTGATGGTAAAGCTTATTTACTGCCTTTAAAATTAATATAAACCTGGCAGTATTAAGGAAAAACTTACTGTACCCTACCTCGTTCTTTGGGAAACACTGAATAATTTAATCTAGCTGATGCCGGAGCCAGACGAGAAGGGCGTAAGATTTGATCAATGAAGGCTTGTATACGATAATCTCCCGGGGTCACATTAGGATTAGAAGTTAAAGGAATATTCTGGGGATGAGTCATTGGGAAAATTGTTCCTAAAACATGTATATACATTACGGATCCATGACAAGTGAGTAGAAGAGCTTCATCCGTTGAACAAGATGTTAATAAGTTAGAATCATTAGGTAACGCTGGGAATGAAGACTGTAGACGATGAGCCAACGCAACAGACCGACCTGTATTAGATGAATAAAGAGATTAACAAGTTTGAATAATAATAATAATAATAACCCAGGTATACACGTACACAGTTTCTACTAGTCATCACTTGCTGAAGAATAGAGACAATTCATCTTTAAATTAAGGGTGTACTATGTCACAATAAACATTAAAATCGACACACTAGATAGATAAAGTGGCCAACAAAAGCAAGACATCTAAACTTAGCTAAATTATAGTCGTTAAGTTGGTATTTTAAAGGAAACAGACTGAATAATTACGCAATAAACGCGTTAATGTGTTGAATGTGATGACATAATTACTATTTTTAGATACCATAATGACGGTCTAACAAGGATATTGTTTCATAAGTCATCTCATTGATAAAATTACCATCGTTTATCCTAAATAAATATGAACAAAGTATTCTATTATTGATCTTACAATCAGTAACTATAATTCGCCTAAGGTGAAATAATCTGACCGGATCCTATGCACTGAAGCATATCGCTCTTATCTCATATAGGTACACAACACACTTATTACATCGCTATAAAGATTCGACGGTACAAAATACTTTTAAAATTGTGTATCCAGCATTTAGTGAGCTGAAAATAGGAAGTACCCGTCAACAGGATGTTTCAATAGCGTTTTGCTCATAAAAAAGTGACACTTAGACACCGATGGTATGTTTAATACTTTGCGTTTGTTTATGTGACAGAAAACCAAAAGGATTGTGGGATATAATTGTAGGTAGAAATCACAGATGTATGTTAGGTGATAAGAGGTTATCGGTATCAATATATATCTATAATTTTAAAGAACTGATTCTCCTCGTCGGATTCTAACCAAATTCAGTATTCACCAAACTCAAATAGATATACGTGAGTGATATGCTGTTTCACCAATAACGTTTTCCATTTGTCTCAGAGTTGAATTTTGTCATATCAAGAAATGCTTGAATATTCTAACTAACCATCCAGCTTAAAGAACGAGAATACCAAAAACTCACAGTTTGTAAGGTGAATAATTAAAAAGTTAAGATATTAGACAATTAACCATAAGCTGTATACATTGTGAATAACCTGTATCGGAAATTTATATTGTAAATGCAAACAAATAATCTGAAGTGGGGTTTTGAAAGCGAGTCTTTTGGTGAATTTTAGAAAGTGATCAACACTTATTTTCCCATTTTGCTTTTTTGTGGACCATCTTGTGCTACTTATTAATATTAGGTAGTGTATGTTAGAAGCAATATTTTTAGAACTCGATGCGAGTGGCACTTTCATACTCTTGAAACCAATAAACTTAGACGTATCCACTTTCGTTTGATATTTTAACTTATTATCTCACTTCTAACTACAATTCTTCCCTTCTTTATTGTTTGATCTCCTTTATGTGTACCATCAGAATAACACGAGTCTTTCCATATAACAGCTCAGAGATCTGTTCCACAACATCAGGGAGAACCAAACAGCAGATGGTGGGACTTTGTGATACCTTAGATGCAGTCACGTGACATTTTGTGATATCTCTTAGCTTATTATTTGTCATGACCAAACATGGTTTTCACTGCAGAACAATTTGAATCAGTAGGTTGCAGGTCCGAACTCCATCCCAACTACATCGGTTTAGGCAGCCAAGTAGTACTGTAGTGAATGGAAACCCATGTACGGTAAACTAATTCGTTATTTTATGCAAACTCAAACAGTAGCTATGTAGAATATGAAAATCATACATTGAATAAATCATTTGCATATCTTCCTTCAGTTATCTTTCACATACTCCATCATTCTTCCGATCCTGTTGTTATTCCGGTTGCTATCCGTTTTCCTGCTTTTCTTCATTTCACTCTTTTTTCTGGCAAGCAGTCTACTACTACTTGTCTGTCCGCATAAGTAGCGCACATTACAGTACAAATGGCTATTATACAATGTGGCTCAAAGACAGTTACATAATACCCTCAGTCGGCAAATGAGATACATTTTATTTATTTATTTATTTTACAAAAGTCTTTTCGATAATGAATTAATCTCCACATTCCAATCAACTGTATACATATACATAGTTAGAAATCCATAAATTACCTCCTAAAACAAATTGAGCTAAGCAAGTAGATGCTCTATGGCAAACATCTGCTAAAGTTACTCTGTATGTTGCGACGGCAAAGCGCAGGAAATCTGTGGAAAAATACATGAAGATACATATTAAATTACAACAGATAATCCATGATGCGATTTCCATGACGATAAACAACAGTTGAATTAGCAATAATAATAATAACAAAAGGGACTAAAGAGACATAAAAAATTTAATATTCTGATCATTTATCACACAATTTCATTTCGCTTATAAACTGATTAAAGTTAACACTTCATATTAGTCACTCCCAACATTAACGATTTGATTTCATTTTGTATGACAAACAACAATCCTTGATCCACATGTTACAATTTCAAATTATTTACTCTGCCTTAAATCTGTCCAATTTTATGGATTATTAATTTGGATTTATAATTGTAGAACCTAATGAGAAATTCATTGAAAAGAATATTCTTCGTTCATCTAATTGAATTTCAGTAGTTTTTATACGATTCACTTTGACGCACAACTTTTCGAATGATAATTACTGAAAGTACATATCTAAAACACCGAAATAGATGGAATGAAATTAACAGTAAAGACTGATAGGTTTGGTATAATACTCAAATAAAAGTATCCACTGTATATTTTGTTTGTACTATAATCAGTTCCATGAATCACTAAATAAACTTTACTGTTGACTAGGATATACTCGTTACAAAAATAACCATAATTATTCTAAAAACAATGTCATTATTAAGTGGTACGACCTACAGAGAGATAAAAGCAAAAACTGAACTTAACTTAGATTAAAAATACAGGCATTGATCACTACTATCAATTTATTACTTCCTAATTATCAGACTAATTAATTTTGTACTAGTAATTCAGTACAATTATATTGAAAAAAGATTTAAAAAAGACTAAAGTTTCACAACTATCCTACAAAAAGTTATTACTTATGCTTTGATTGTACAGTTATATACCCTTGAATTCTTAAAGTTTCATACTCTTCTATATGAAAGCTTTTGTTAGAAATATAAACTGTTATTATATGTCTTATCGTTCGAGAATTATTGCTAATTAATTATTTCTCTATAGCTCCGTTTTTGTATCAATTATGATTGAATGGTGTATATATTGCAATTTGTTATTTGTGTGCTGTGTGGTCAGGTGTTTAAGGTATATTACTGTTTGATTTTTGACTAAAGAACGGACAGAGTACAAAAGAGTGGACATATGTCTGTCATATTTGCTTTCTGGTTGGACACTGGATTGGATGGAGCACGAAGATCAACAGACATTAAGGTCTCGATCGTTGCTGATTAGTCGATGTTATTGGCAAAATTAGTCGTCATTCTACATGCAATGTAAGCTAATAAGTCAGCAATAGAACTAAACAACACAACCGCTTTCGTAACGATGGCTCAATCATATAGACACCAACACAACTCAGGAACCTATTCTTTTTGAAGTTATATAACAATTACAATTCGACTCGAATTTTTTATGATAACAATATGAAAAGTTGGAGCATATATGAAGCTTTAACCTTAATTCATTTCTGACAGGAAGATAGTTATGTTATACAATTATGAGATAGACAAAAACAAACAAATTTATTTGGTTTACAGAACTAACATAAAAGAAGATATGCAGTATGAAACCAGAAATTTAACTTGATTTCGGCTTAATCTATGAAAAGTTAATTAACTGATGTTAAACAAATGTAACGTAGTAACCAAGTACAAACCCAGAAACTCAGTTTCGAAAGATACTTTTGATGTGCATAAGTTAAAAATACTAACATTTAAATAGCTAAATGTAAGTAGATGAACCAGAGATTGAAGCTAGAATAAAATTGTCTCTCGAAATAGCTGTGCCGTCTGTTGCTGCATACATTTCTCGATAAGAAAGTCAGTCAACCATATTCGACGCGGAATCTGGTCCATAATTATGATAAGAAAACATTAATAATATTTATGGACATAGTAATAGAAAATAAAATAATGGTGAAATACCATGCCTTATTGCTTTTGAATAAAATTTTATGATGTCATGAAACCCATTAAAAAATGGTAGAATAATTGGCAAAGCGAACTTAGAGAAAATGTAATTAGGTGAACATGTAGTTCATGAAATACAAGTAGAATAGTTAGAATTGTTGCCTAGAAAAGCTAGTTAATGATATTAAGTTATGAAAAAGCGTTAAGTGGTGAAAAACGTTTGTAGCTCAAAGAGAGGATTTCGGACTTGTTTGCTCTGAATTAGGTGGTTTAACGATGAAGCATTCATTGTACGTATAGACAACATCGTCAAAAACGTACATTGTTTATCTTTATCAATGCATACTCTTTCCATATATACATCACCCATTTAGTCTATACTATATTATTTGAGGTAAGTCTGTGACTGAACCCTAGTATATGTAGCTTTTATAGCCTGTCATATAAGTTATCTTAAATTTGAAAGACTTGCGACAAAACAAAAGAATTGTCTCGTTCTAAAGTCTGGATAAGACTGTGACATAACTTATGTAACATAGCTTATGTAATATAAGAAATCAGTAATGTTCTACATGATTTATTTTACTGAATAAGAAACATAAAGACAAAAATATCACTATACATAGCTTATAACGTTGTGGAACAAAACTACTTCACTCACTAGTATCCGAGGTCTTCGGCGTAACCCATTTTATGCCCAAAGTTTTCGAAAATCCAGAGTGTGGTCGTGATATGGACTTATTGTTTTCACTATCTGTACGTACTAATAATTTCTCGTAAATACCCCGACGTTTTAACATGTCGTGTACCTCAGCTCGATGCAGAATTTCGACGCCATACATTGAACTACCAGAATTAACATTAGCTTCCTCCTTCATGGGAATATCTTGAACAAGTGTACTTGAAAGATTGTAATGACATTCTGCAAGACGCATTAAACCCTGATACAACTCTTGGCTGGTAGCTAGAAGTTTATGATAGAAAAAACGATGTCGGGTATTCGGATCTATATTATTAGGTAGCTAAAAATGAAGTGAACAAAATAAATATTAAAAAGAACCAAAATTACTTCACTCAAACTACGGAAACCAAATTTAGCAATCTCACCTAACATAAAAATCACCAAACCGCCGCAATTCAATGTAGAGTAAATCTGTATTTTGCGTCGTAATCAGATACAAGTGATATAAATCTAAAAAGAATAACACAAGTCACTTTGATGCAACACAACACAAAGCATCGGATTCAAACCACACTACTACACACCACATATCACTAGTTATCATAAATGTTACATAAGTTGAGAGTTGTCGACTGGAGAACCCCTGAAAAACGAAAAATAATTTTAATTTAGTCTGTAACTCGTCAAACGTACATGCCCACAACTCTACATAGGATTGGACAAAGGAAATTCGGTGTTGGCTGCCAGTATGATGTCTCTAAACCAATAGGCTGGAACTATAAGCTTCATATTTTCAAAGTCAGTCAAGTTTTGATATAACGCCATCCGTATTATCAAAAGTCACCAGTCAGTTTATACCTCACCTCGCATATTACAACTTCTAACTAGATATTACTAGTAAACACAGTTAGGTACATTTATATCGCACAAGTAATTTTCACCAGGAATTCAAATCGGTTTCAGAAAACTTGAAGAAATTATTCAGCCGGTTATACACTACTACCAATAACCAAAGTATAAATATATTAAGATAAGCTCTAAAAAATTAAACAAAGCTTAATACGTTGATATGTGATACGTGAAATGAAGGATGGTTGTTACAAGTACCTCTTATAACGAACTAGCTAAATATCAAGCAATCATAAAAATCAGTGTAACTTGAGACACTTTACAATCTCGCTTAAGATTGAAGTCACTGGTGACTAATGGTAGCGCTATTGTTTGTTGTATAAGCAGACATAGGATAGAAACTAGAAGCTGATGAAAAATTTACCTGAATAAGTGCATTTAACCAAATATTTTCTTCGAAATCACTATTTCTATGTCAAATATATGCTGGAATCTATGTTTTTGTAACACCGTGTCTACGAATTATTTTTTTTATTAAATACTATGTAATTAACTATACAAATAACTTTATATTAGCAAACCAAAAATAGCCAAGAAAACAATAACAACAGTTTTATCTAATAGAGAAACCGTGACAGCTTACTTTTTTCGATTTTTTAACATGAATGAAAGTATTAATTATAGATAATAATAAATTTCGGAACAGACTAAGTTTGGTATTCTTTTGAATAACTACGACCATGAATTTTGAAGTATATTCAAAATTCATTCAACGATATGCTGATACTAGACTTTAGATGATCTCAAATGTAACTATCTGTTTAAGAATAACCTATGGAATTGTTTGCTTATTCAAAGTAGTAGTTTCGATTAATTCAGTTTTTCCACTTAATTTTATACTGATTGATTCAGTTGATAAAGCGTATATGTTTATTGAAAGTCTCACTTCCTGTTTAGAGTTTGTACTTCCCCGTATTTGGTATCTAGTACTGAATAGATTAAAGTCCGTTGAAAAACGGATGCTTTGACAACATATGAACTACATTATTGGTCATTATCGGGAAAATATTTATTGAAAAATGATAAGTAAACATTAAAAACTATTACTCCACTACCACGATAAATGATCTACGGAAATTTCTGCGCATTTTGAAGATGTTTATTATTGATTGACGTCAGTTGGAGTACTATTAAAAAGTACTGAGTACCATACAGTAGCACTCATGAACCCGTACGGTATCAAATTTAAGAACTTATAGTCTTGTAGAAAGTATAGTGCCCGTAAACCATTGAATAGAAAATAGATGGTTACCATAACAAATTTTAATTCATTCTTGATTAAGGATGACTTATATTTAAATACACTGATGAGTTACTGTTTTACATTAGACGGCTAACTTTATAGGTCACGGAATCTCATCAAAATTTATCCCCATTACCACCTAAACTTTTCATTCCCTTCTAACTTGCATCTTTTGCTATAAAATTTCTTATGAAACAATGATAGAACAATGAGAAGACGGAGTTGATCTGAAAAATGTGATGTATTAGCGCTATACATTTCGAACAATCTGGTCACACATATACTTGTCAGGGCATTTTTATATGAAAATTAATAAAGGTCAAACAAATAAAAGTACAATTAAAATAACTAAGGAGAGAGAAAGAATAAGAAATTGTCGCGTTATCCTAGGCCATAGAATGACTACCTTGAATGTACCTTGGATAACGCGACAATTTCTTATTCTCTCTCCCCTTAGTTATTTTAATTGTACTTTTATTTGTTTGACCTTTATTAATTTTCATATAAAAATGCCCTGACAAGTATATGTGTGACCAGATTGTTCGAAATGTATAGCGCTAATACATCACATTTTTCAGATCAACTCCGTCTTCTTATTGTTCTATCGAAACAATGATAAACAAACCTCTAATTGCTCAGGGTATAGTCCATTTAGATCTGCTGAGAATTCAGAAGCTGGAAACAGGTCAACAAAAACCCATTCACTTGAAGTAACATCCATATGACTAGAAAAAATCAACAAGAATAAAGTGATCTAGGTGAAAGAAATATTTTGTCGGCAGAATCAATAAAAAGTAGGAAATCGTTCGAATGTAATCTTATCCTAGGAAATGAAAACCATAAGAAACTAAAAATTTTAGCTACTTGATAATTTGATGTGGAATAGCGGTTTATTGGTTAGACCAATCGATACTCTTAGTCCGAATTTCGATATACCTACTTCCATCTGGATAACATCACTAACCTTTAGACAGTGTAGCTTACAAGTAAGTACATACATCCATACCTGGTATATTACTAGTACCAAAGTTTAATCCCGAATGGTACAATCGAAGATGGAATAAAACTAGGTTCGACTAAAACAAGATGTGATATTAGTTCATCAAGTCAGCTGCAAACTACCTAATTGACCTCCTTAATTATCGTGACCAGTGTATAGAGAAAAAAGGTGACATGGCTAAAAATCTATTGCAATGGAATAAATGCATTCATTCTTTACACTCCTCCAGATTGTAGTTTTAACACTATTCCACAATTTCATTCCACTAATTCACTCATTCTTTTCAATTCATATCCTTTGATCTTTGATCGCTATGATTGATACTGTTGCTCTATCGCTATTTATCTTGTTAATGTCACCTCTCTGAGCTGATGGTATGGTAGCCTCGACTAATGTACATTTTTCCTGGTTCTTATAGTTTGACTGTGACCAATAATTCGATCATAAATATTAAAGTACAAAACTGCTATTTTATGAATATTCTAATACCGTGAGTTATTGTCATTTAAAAGAAACGGAATGACTAATTCAAATCATTTGTATCTGTGTCTAGAGACCCAAAATAGAAAGCAAAGACACGGGCCTGAATGGAAGTTCTATAATAAAATTCCCAACATTCATTCATTCGTGCAGTACATACATATTACTTTAAATCTACGCTGACCAAGCTACTTGGATTGGAAGTGGCAGTTAATGTCATAGATCGAGTGTCTGAGTATTAGTCTAATACAAATGTAGTTAGTATAAACCTACTAAGTCAACGAATTGCTATTAGATAATCGTCATCTGATATTAAAACGATTGTAACATGATAAGTGTCTCTTATATCCTCAGTCATGTTTGACTGACACATGTGCCTCCACTTAACGATAGACTTTTTTAAACTGGTTAAGTGCCTCGGATTTTCTGGACTAAATCAATTCAAGAAGAAGACAGTTCTGTCAGGTGAAGCACTGAAACTATGAAGCTGAATATTTTACATGGATTTAAGACTTTTCAAATGCATGGAAATTGTTCATGACTGATTTGCACAAAGTTTGAAATCATACAGTGAAATTGCGGCATTTTTAGTGAACGAGATGCCGACAAAATCTCGACAGAGAGAAATGATACCGATTTGACAGCTAAAAACCTATGCTACTAATGGTAATTGTAAAATAACTGGCTGCTAATTAATGAACGACGGTAATTTTAGTAATTAAAGATGTCTTATAATCTAACAGTGAAATAAAACTGCTGACGGTAGAAAAAATGCGTGAATTTAAGGACGTGATTTTATATGTCTTCAAAACATTACTCATGCATGGTGAGACCAATTAATGAATGATGCTGACATCATTCACAAATTCCCAGAAGAAAATTGGAAGTTGGTAACTGAAGATTTAGATAGCTGTTAAGTGTTACATACACTTCCTCGACATGCTATTTGAAATAAAATAAGGTAATCAACGAATTGTTTTTATTTTCAATTCTCAACGTATCTACTTCCTAGCGTTATAACACGTCTCTTTGTTTTTCGTACATATGCCTTTGCATGATAGCCAATTAAACTGATGTACTTTGTGCACGCTTTTAAGCTGTCTGATTCTATCCACAACTGTACGGAGTAGAACGGTATTCACACAAAACAAACAATATAGAAACTTACTCGGGTGTGTCGATAGGCTTCTCTAAAGACGATAAAATATCCGGAATCCAAGACAAAACTTTATTACTATGATGAAATCGTAAATTTAACTAATAAAGTTATTACCCCATAGACATGCTTAAGACAACTACTCTGCCTTTGTTCTCGCCAGAATTAATTTCCTTCTGACGTGGCGTTAGCATTTGTAAGAGATGAGAGGCTGAAGATAAACCTGGAAGTGAACCCCGTTCAAGAAAATTGAGTGAAGAGATCTTCGGTGGACCTTCCTGAGAAAATATGTTCCATATCTTATTATATTGTGAATTAAGGTTAAATGTAATTACTGTATCCAAATTTTGATCCTCATTTAGCCATATGGAGTGAATCTTTTCCTCATCATCAAAGGTTACTATAGATATCTTGATAAATTATTGCGTTATCTAGAGAAACTTACAGGTTTTTCGGTAGAAAATATATCAAATACAACACGACAGTACTGTATAACGGCTTCAACAAGGTTGCTCCAAATTGACTTCTGAAATATCACTTTTGTGTTTACAAATTTAACTCCGGTATCCAAGTTTAATTCATCTCCGGCGAAACAGCTAACCATGTGTGTATGGTTAATAACAAGTACAGTCTTCCCATTATATTGATCGGCCTCCATACTTAAAATGTACAGAACTGTAAAAAGGCAACAAACAGGCTAAAAATAATGATTAGGTTTGAGAAAGAATGTTGGAAACCATGCACTTACTATCAAAGGAACAAAGTTGACGTATTTCCATCTACTTAAAACTTCAGATCTATAACACACTCTTCATCGACTGAGATGGTTGAGTCACGTGTTACGTATGCTCGAACACCGATTACCACGACGTGCAATGCTAACCGGTGTTGGAGATGGTTGGAAGAAAGTTAGGGGCGGCCAAACTAAAACGTGGCATCAGTGCTTGAAGTCACTAACTTCTAGTCTGAGCCACGTTGGTAGATGCAGACTACTTGGTTGGGATCCGCGTGACTATCGTAACCAATGGTTGGAGACTCTTGGTGACATGGCTCAGAATCGGTCACAATGGCGTCGGTGTATACACTCCCTGTCTTCTCTTAAACTAAGAGATTAAAATCGCTTCACATCTTTCTTTCTAAGAACTAATTCTTTCTTCCTGTACTATATCCTTATTGCAATCCCTCTTTTATATATTACCACCTCTGAATTAACCACTTATATGAATCCGGTGTTCATCTTGTTGTGTTAATGAGGTATGGCAACTTGGACCGATGCATATATGTGCCTGGTCCTACGTTGTGGCTGACTGACTGATAACACTCATATGGAGGAAAAACCTCAAGGTCAACATAACTGATTTTTGGTGAAAATAGAAAAATAAAGCAAAAACACGATTTGTATAATAATATGAAGTCATTATACTCAAAAGCTTCTTATCAGCTACAAACAGCCTAAATTTACACTAGTAATATCATCATAAAAAATCCTTTTATTACATACTATCATCAATTAAGTTTGGTTCGAAATGAATCAGGAAACAAGAGGGGACAACATAGTTAACATGACCATAAAAATAATGTTTTATATGTTGAAAATGAAATCATAAGAAAGAAAAACAAGGTGAAGTTGTAAATAATAATAAAGAGAATGTATAAAGCAAGTTGTCAACAAATGAGTGGTAATCAAGGCATATACTTAAATTAAAGTTAAGATTGTGAATGAATGTCAGTGAAACTATTTTTCCATTTATAAAATATAATGTGGATACAATCTAACTGACGACTGTTAGAAATATAAAATAGCCTATGCATATGATGTATATATAACCATTAATTTTGAGAGCACTAAATAAAATAGAGGTAAAACTTTCAAGAAAGGCCGAAGTTATGGTTGTTTGTTCAATTTGATCACTCAGAACAGTTAAATCAGTGAACAAAAAAACAGAAAACTTCAGTAGACCACTTAACCAGGATTACCTACCGAACAATTTCTATATTTCATCATTATTGTTATAGGTGATTTATGAAACGCTGTCAATTCAGCATTGTTTCTCAACTATACAGTGGAATGAAACCGCATGACCAAGTAAAAAGAACATCAAGAATAACAGAAATTAAGGTAAAAGTAATGTAACTCAAAGATAAAATAAAGGAAACTAATGAATGGAAGGTATGGAATAGCACTGGTGTCCATGTGCAGCCCCCGAATACAAATCAAGAGAAAGGAATTCAACACCGATTAAGATGAATTTTCGTCACATTAATTTGTTCAGTATGAACTCCACCTATGGACCTTTAGTGCATTCTTATTATGATTTGTGCTAAGTGGTAAATACGTAGTTCATACATTCTAAACATTGCAATTGATATGCAATCAATTGTAGTGAAGTCATCATCAACAAAGATTTCACTACTAAACTGATCTCTTCACTTCAGTTAGCATGGCCGGGAAGAGGGCCGAAGTAATCATATCCGCTGAATCGAAGTCGAAGTTGAGGAATATTGACCTAACGTACGAAGGTATAGGACAATGAGTATAGGACTTAGAGGGAAATAATGTAAAACTGGACATACTACTGTAACATGTCTTTTTCTCAAACCCAATCCCTAAGAGACTTGAAGGATGTTATCGCTAGCCCTGGCTTATTTCTAGCAAGCCTGATAACTAAAATATCAGTAAAAATAATTTGGGACATATTAATCACGTAGAATCACGAAGTTTACTGACTCAGAACCAACACGAGTTTCGAGAGATAATACGGCTAGACTCTAATTTATGGACGAACCAACCAGATTTACGGGGAGAGGTATTGAATTTTGGCTCAGAATTAATTCATTTATTTGGCTAAATAGAGTTTTGGCATTATAGTTTATGTCAGTTAGTTATGAAAACCCTATATCTAATTCCTCTATTCGCATATAAATCACGTGTGAGAGTTAATACGTAGTTACATCGACAGCGAAGAGCTCAAAAATGATTCAGACGAACTGACTAAGTATTTCAAAAGTGCTTGTCTTTTTACTCTCATCATTGTTAATCACTTACGGTCAAATCACAAAAAGGCTTTCCTAAGGAATTTAGCCTGCTAGCTAATTAGTAGGCTATTCGTTTCAAGTGGTGAACAACTGTGACGTGATGCCAGAACAATTGTTCCTTAAACAAGTTTGTTTATATTATACCCCTTTTCCAACAGCCCTAGAAGCCAACTTTTGCGATAAAAAGGTTAAGAATTGATAGGAACGAGAAAAACTGTACACTATTTCAGCAATAAACAAGATCACAACCACGATCTACAAGACACTCACAACTAACTTTACATCTACATTAGGTAACGTTGGACAGTAATTAGGCGCCTGTGTAATACTAAGGCTTGTCGGGCAAAGTATTGAACATTCAGCTTCTCGATTTCAGGCTCAGCTTCTGTTGATCCTTGCTACTTTTTAGTTCCTACCCTTCTCAAACTATGGGATTTAGGATAGTGGTCTATACATATCAAGAATTTCTGTAGGTGCTAATAGTGATAGAGATGGTGGATCTGAATCTGCAAAGAAAGCACTTGAATGATTCAAATGGTTGTGGACGGAATAGAAGAAGCTTTCGCTTAACAGGCTTCCGTGTCTAGTAGCAGGTGATCACAAAATCCTCCAGGCAGGAACCTAAATATGTTGACAATAAAAGATTGAAAGAAATTAGTAAATCATAGTGTGATACTATCCTTAGTCCTTAAGAATAGATCAAGTTGCCTCTTAAAGGACTCCTGGGAAGTCGCTTGGACTAGCTCGGCCGGCAGAGAATTCCAGAATTTGACGACTCTTAAGGAGTAGAAGTTGTGTCTACAGTCCGTTCTGTTATGTTTTGTCTCCAGTTTCTGGGTGTTACCTTTTAGGGTAGTGTTGGAACTAAGCTTAAGTATGTGTTTGAGAGGATGTCCAGAAGTGTTAAGGATACTATAAGCCATCAGAACGTCACCTCTAAGACGTCCATACTCTAATGGGTAAAGGTTAAAAGAATTGAGGCGCTCTTCGTAAGGTTTAAATTTGATTCCTCGAACTGATTTCGTGGCTCGCCGTTGGATACGCTCCAGGGTGTCCTTGTCCTTTTGGAATGAGGGGGGGAAATACTACGTTTCCGTACTCTAAATGAGGACGGATAAAACTACTGAAGATTGTATGGAAAGTTCTTTGATCAAACTGGCCAAAAATGCGCTTCAATGTTACCAGTGCAAGGTTTGCTCGGAAGGCATTTTTGTCACAGTTAGCGTAAGACTTTAAATCGTAGGGCACCTGGACTCCTAAATATTTTTTGATTTGGGATACTAATAGAGAGGAGTTACCTAAGTTATAACTGTAGTCTGTGACATGTCGCAGATGGACTACTTTACACTTTGAAGTGCTAAAGGTAAGTCCGTTATCGTCTGCCCAAATTTGGAGTCGAATCAGATCCTCCTGAAGTGCCTGTATATCGTCTTGGTTGCGTATCTCTCTCAAAAGTTCCACGTCGTCGGCAAAAAGTAATAAGTCTGACGTTAGCTGTTGAGGAATATCATTTATGTAGATCAAGAAGAGAAGAGGCCCTAGTACTGAGCCCTGGGGGACCCCACTAGGACACTCCATAGCCTGAGATAAAGTGAAATTAACCCTGACCTTAAAATGTCGATTTTTCAGGCATGAAATGAGCCAATCGATTGGAGGTGGTCTGATACCCAATCATTTGAGCTTATTGATAAGACATGTATGGTTAACCAAAAGCTTTTGAGAAATCTAGGTAGATGACATCAACCTTCCCCTTGTAATCAAGGATGCTTGTGCATCTGTCCACCGCAGTCAGCAGGTTGGTAATACAACAGTAACCCTTCCTGAAACCATGCTGTTGGGATGAGAAGAAATTTAAGGACGATAAATAGTCATTTATACCATCGCATATCAAGGACTCCATGATTTTTGAGGGTATGGAGAGAAGAGCAACCGGTCGGTTACTTGTAGGTTCGCTGCGTCGACCTCCTTTGAAAATTGGTGTGATATGAGCCAGCCTTCAATTTTCCGGTAGTTTTCCTCGATTTAGAGAGTGTGAGAACATCAAGCTAAGCGGCGTTGCCAAGATTGAGGCTGCTTCTTTCAGTATGGCGGAATGGACCATGTCCGGGCCAGGAGAAGTGTCTAATCTTAAGTGCTGCAGTTTCTGGAACACCAAGTCAGCGCTTAGGTTCACTTCGAAAAGTTCTGTGGAATTGCTAACGAAACTGTCATGAGTAAAATTAATGTCGGTCGGTTGGAATGTCTGGGAGTAATATTCAGCCAGAAGGTTAGCGGCGTCGCCATCGTTGTTGGTCGGGCCGTTAAGACCTACCAGTTGGGAAACTCCTGTTTTGGCTTGACGAAGAGAGGCTGTATAACGGAATAAGCCTTTAGGGTTAGAGGCAAATTTGTCCATAAGCTTTGTCTGGTACTGAAGCCTATCTTCTCTTATAGCCTCCATGCATATGTTCCTGATATGTTTATATTGCCTGTACTCGCCGTCGTGGTCAGTTCGTTCGTATTCCGCCCAACAGTGCCTTTTGCGGCTTAGCAGGCGAAGGGTACGGTTCTTTATTATTGTAGGTAGCTTGCAGCTTTTGGGAACCGTTTGAAGAACTGAATGGTTTGTAGCACGTAAGAGCG